TAAATTTGACACAGTTTTATATCAATTTCTCGAGACAGTAACATCAGATAGAACTCTCATGGGTCTTAATCAACACCCAAAATGCTAAGGTTTCATCCTATACCTCCTTTCATTTTTCCTTTACTGTCTCTTTAAGAAAGCAGAAATGAAAATATAAAGTTAATTTCGATTTTATTTTCATTTATATTTTAAATTTTTTTTGGAAATATCTGGAAATATCGTAACGTTTTTGGAGAAAATCCGGTAACAATCAAAATTGTATAGCATCTACACTTGCTATAATTTACAATTAATTTACCTTTATAGCACGATGATTCCATTATAGCTCGTTTATAATAAAATTCACCGTGAAGTTAGTAAGAATGATAAAGTACACAATAGAAAAAATCTACGAAACTCTTTTTCAAAATATTTATCCCATTAAACATATTTTACTGAACTGTTTAGTGTGTTCAGCTTAGTTTTGTGTTTATCCCTGGAATCCGGAGAATTTTTATTGAGATTTAAGTTCCCCTCCTGTCACTATTTTTTCCTCTGTAAATCCAGTAAAAATATTATTCCAACACCATGGTATGCAGTAGAACACATTGATTAAAGAAAACGGAGGAAAACTCCGAAATTAAACTTTTCGAAACTTTAAGATTGATGGGAATGGTCGTCGTAGTTTCAAGTGACAATTTATTCAGGGATTCCCTATTCACAACAAAAAACTCTTAAACCTTTGTCTGTGCTGTACAAAATGATGAAGATATCCTTACTTTTTTATTGATAATTTTGAATTGCGGTTTCTACATAAAAGTGACTTACGGTGTTATGCAGCACAAACAAATATAACAATATATTCATCATTTTTCTCAGAAAAAGATTAAAACAGCCATTTGATTTTTTTAAAATGAGGATAATTTGAAATTACGTCGGGAGTCCCTTTGAAAAGAAGACATATTCTAAGACATGTTTCCATATTGGCTAACGAGATGTAAACTTAAATACTTTTTTCCAAAACTGATACAAACTGTCAAAATTTATTTTTAAAAATATAGATTTTTCGTACTTTAGAAGCTCAATTTATGTACAGTGGTAAGAAATTATATACAATGAAGACGACTTTTTGCTCAAAGTTTTTATTACAAGCCTACAAGTAGTCAAAGAGAACCTTCTCTTGAATTCTTTGTTTATGTGTATTCATGCAGTTTAACAGCTTGATAAAAATCAAAATTTAAATCGAAAGTCATCTTCATTGTATTTTTTTAGTCTCCTACCACTGAACTATTTGTATAAGAGAAATTGTAAACAATAAAAATGTAAAAATTACATATTCTAATGACGGCTTTAAAATCTTATTCATAAAGTGATTTTGTAGTATTTGTTAATTGACGTTTATACACAGTTTGTTAATTGAAATTAATAAAACTAAAGTGAATTAATAAAAAGTTAGGTAATGGCGAAAATCGAAATATTTTCAAAAGAATTTGATTTTCTTCGATTACTAGATTTCTTTAAGAATATTTGTTCGCTACAATTAAAACACTCTAATAGAAAATTTGTTTTACTAGAAATAATAAAATGTATAAAAATATTTTAAAATTTAAAATTAAAAAGTCTCAAAAACAATTTTTTTGAACTTGATATAATTTGAAAAGAAATAAATACTAAAACATAATAATTGAAAATTTGATTTTGATATTTTGACTCTGTATTTCAGTTAGAAAATAAATAAATAGATAAGATCGAAACATTGTAAATGAGAGAATATTCAATTTAATATCCAAAATCCAGGAATTTATCAACTAGTCATGTTTAAATGATTGGCTGGGTTTCCTAAACTTTTCTTATTTAATCCTTTGATTTTCTAATTCTCTAATCTTTAAACTTTTAGAATTCTTCTCTAATACAATTCTAATTCTCCAGGGGTTAACCCAGGGGGGTTATGGGTTTATGGGATTATATGCGAAAAATTTAGTTTCAAAGGGCAATTCAGGGACTGAGCAGTTGGCCCCCCGTCACCGGAAAGTTAAAAAAGTTGAGCTCTTCCTTATTCTTAGACAAATTCTTTCCCTTTCTGCATGCATGCTTAGTCCTACACAAAGAAAGTATGGCTAAAAAATCATTTGTACTTAAAATAAGTTATCCTATATATCATTTCTCTACAAATCCCTGAACTTGAACCTGAAGTCCCTGAACTGGCACCTGAAACCCCTGAAATTAAACCTGAAACCTCCGAACCTGAACATAAAACCCTGAACCTGAACATAAAACCCTGAACTTGAACCTGAAATCCCTGAACTTGAACCTTAAATCCCTGAATTTGAACCTGAAATTCCTGAACTTGTAATTGAAACCCCTGAACCTGAAATTCCTGAACTTGAACCTGAAATCCCTAAACTTGAACCTGAAACCCCAGAACTTGGACCTAATACCCCTGAACCTGAACCTGAAACCCCTGAACCTGAACCCAAAATTTCTGAACTTGAACCTGAAATCCCTAAACTTGAACCTGAAATCCCTGAACATGGACCTGGAATCCGTGAACCTGAACCTGAACCTGAAATTCCGGAACTTGAACCTAAAATCCCTAAAATTGAACCTGAAACTCCAGAACTTGATCCTTGAACCCCTGAACCTGAACATAAAATTCCTGAATTTGAACCTGAAATCCCTAAATTTGAACCTGAAATCCCTGAATTTGAACCTGAAATCCATGAATTTGAACCTGAACCCCTGAACTTGAACCTGAAAACCCCTAAACTTGAACCTGAAACCCCTGAACCTGAACCCGAAATTTCTGAACTTGAACCTGAAATCCCTAAACTTGAACCTGAAATCCCTGAACATGGACCTGAAATCCCTAAAATTGAACCTGAAACTAAAGAACTTGATCCTTGAACCCCTGAACCTGAACATAAAATTCCTGAATTTGAACCTGAAATCCCTGAATTTGAACCTGAAATCCCTGAATTTGAACCTGAANGAAAAGGTTACTCTGGCATGGTACCTGGAATGTAAGAAAAGGTTACTTTTGCATGGTACCTGGAATGTAAGAAAAGGTTACTGTTGCATGGTACCTGGAATGTAAGAAAAATGGCCGAATAATTTCGTACAGTCGTCTCTGTGTCGTCTCGTGTACTGTACTCTTCGTGGAGTACATATTCATATGTAATACTAATAATAACAAAAAAACTTCCCTTTCTGATAATTAAAGGACTGCAGTATGGTAAATGTCAAGGAGATATTGAATAGAAGGAGGGGGCGATAGGGTTTCCGTACACTTTTCTGTGACGTTTTTGGACTGCTGAAGAACTAGTTTTTGCGTAACAACAATAATAAAGATTGTAAACAATAACACAAATGATAAACAGACATCTAGGGGGGGGGGGCAGGATAACCTTGAATTTGATTGAAAATGTCTCTGTAATAAGGTCCTTTTCGTATATAACTAAAATCCTTAACTTTTTCAATCTTTTTTAACAAGATAATACTACTTTCACAGTTTACTAACTCATGTTTGTTTACATTAGATCGGCTGCCTTTGTTATTGTTGTTACGCAAAACTTCAGCAGTCCAAAAACGTTACAGCAAAGTGTACGGAAACCCTATCGCCCCCTCCTTCTATTCAATATCTCCTTGGTAAATGTAATGGAGTATACTAAGCCTATAAGGGTTGTCAGAATTATTTTATTTTCTCATAATTTCTTTAATATCTTAAAATTTCCAAACCAAATTTAATTTCCATGTTTAACCTTGTCACCACTTGAACCTCTTACAAGAAACCCTGAGTTTACACATTTATCTAAAAATACCCTGATAATACTAACTTCATTTCTAACCTTGAATTCAAACTAGAAGACGGCATTGTCTTGAAATAGAAGAAATATCATCAATTCTGTAACGTTCTTCGTTCGATATAGTTTTCAATATTTCAAAAGAATGATAAATATTTCTGAAACAAATGGAGAACAAAATAAATTTAAAATGTGACAGATTCGATAATACAGAACTATTTATTATCCTGACTTTTTTGAGCAAGATATCTACTGTTTAGTGCCCCCCCCCCCCCATCAGCCTCCACTCCAAATAAGTGATACAGGGTCGAAGATACAGGGCTAACCACAAAGAATGAGACTTTAATACCAAAAACCCTATAATTGTATCGATTTAAAGGTTGAATTTTGTCTTTTGTCTTTTATCACATGATTTACTAAATGATTTAGAAGTGAAATAATTAAGCATAAAGTTGCAGGAGAATACGAATTTAAGAATAAAGACTAAACAAACGTTGTGCAGTCGTCTTTGAAGTTTCACCTTTTGTAGGTAGCTGTAGTGACGAATAAAGGACCAAAATAAACGAACTGGATGTATATTGAATTCATGGGCTTTTTAAGTATTTTCAAATATATTTGGTTTGGTAAGTTCAGCTTCCAGACTGGAAGACTATATCTACGGATCTCCAAATAACATTGATAATTTCGTTCTTTATAAAAAGATATCGACACGAAAAATTGGAAATCAGTTTAAAAGTATTTAGATTATTTTTTTAAATCGTTTAAACCTAACTTAACCAGTGTTTTATGCTGTCAGCACTTTTCTCCAGTAAATCTAGTAATCCGCAATTCACCTTTAAGGAGAAACCATAATTGACAGTAATCATTTTTCTAAGAAAAACATTTATATCTTATTTATTGTTGATCAGACAAAGCTTTCAAGCATACCTATGTGAATCAGACATATGTTACTTTATTAATGAAGAGTTACGTAAAATTACATCTCTACTTCTACATCTATACCTTCAACTCAAACTAAATTAAATTATTTCAGGCTGTCAAAAACGTTCTCCGGATTTTTAATAATCTAAAATATATATTCTTTATTTTGCTTACAACAGCTCTTACAATAGTGCACAGGTCAGATGTATTCAACCCTGTTGTATATATATATATATTACATATATATATATGATCCATCCATATATATAATCCATTTTATGTTAATTGAAGATTATTTAGTTTTTAATTGCTCCGGTAGAATGAAGGAGCTGAAACTTGATTCATTGATATTAATCATGATTATTAAATCCTTAGCTAGACAGGTAAAATGTTGGTTTGTATAAAGGTGAGAGAGATAGGGTTTGTGTACATTTTACTATGAAGTATTGCAGCTCAAGGAACTGGTTTAATGTAGATAAACAACACTTTGTGAACAACCCCGCTAACTAACCTGCCCAAGGGAATCCCTACCTTTGTTTACAATCTTTGTAATTGTTCTTAAAAACTACCTACCATCAGTCCTAATGTTTATTTTTATATGTTACAATAAATTGTGTACAGAAACCCTACCTGTAGTCTATATACCTTGATTGGTATATATATTGGTATATATATTAATTTGTGTTGGTCATATACCTTGACAAAATTATTGCACAAGACTGTGGTCAATTTGACGATAAGAATACTGAATATATATTTAATAGTTCAGTAATCATTTGAGCTCAGATATAGTTAAATACAATTATTTTTCGTTATTTACTTGTATTTATATTTTCATTTATTTACTTGTATCTATATTTTTATTTATTTACTTGTATTTATATATTTTATTTATTTACTTGTATCTATAGTTTTTCTTTATTTACTTGTATTTATATTTTTATTTATTTACTTGTATTTATATTTTTCTTTGTTTACTTGTATTTATATTTTTTCTTAATAAAAAATATTTACGGGACTTTGAAAGATATTTTTGTGTAACTTTGCAAAAAATTGATTCAATTATGAAACTTTTACGAAAATATTTAAAGAACGAAAATATTTTGAAGGTTTGAAAGAGAAGTACACTGAAGAGATATTATGAAGATTTTGGTATTCCAGCAAATCTATAGGAACAGAAAAACAAAATTATATAAGTCGAATAGAAATATTTTTAATATTCATCTGCATTTAGACATAGAAATTATCTTTGCCATCTGAACTAGAATATTTAAAACATCTTTATTGCTTATATTCAAAAAAGTAAAAATTATATCTGACATTCAAAAATTTTATTAAAGAACTTTTTATTTCGCTTTTCTTGTTTTTCATTTAAAGAGACTGTAGACCTAATTTCATGTGATACTCCGTGGCATGTCGGATTCACAATAATATCCAATTAACCTTTGTTTTATAGTAACAATGAAGAAGATTTGTGTCTGTAGCTTAAAATCTACAAAAGTAACAATTAAAGGGAAACCATGAATTAGATTATCTCTGTCATCCATGATCGGCCAAAGGTTCAAAGAATACTGTTGTGAATCGGAAATACCATTGTGCTTGAAATTACGTGTAAAGTTTTTTTTAATATTTGCAATATTCCAAAATAGTATTTTTTTTTTAATGTTTAATTGGAATACATTTTCTTTTAATGTTGCTCAGTTTAATAATCCTTGGTGCTGAAGGGGTCACTTTAACCTTGCTACACGTCAATGACATCCATTCACACTTCGAGGAGGTCAATGTAAACACAGGCAGGTGCAGAGGCACAGAGGTCAGACATCTTTCTTGATACATTGAAATATTATTTTACGTTTTTTTAATGAAGGTTGATGGTTGCTACGGAGGAATGAGCCGGATGATGACTTTCATCCGGGAGGTCAGAACATCAGATCCGGATACTATACTTCTTAATGCGGGAGATTATTATCAGGTTAGAGGGAGGGAGGGAAGGAGGAGTTGAAGGATATTATGATTGTATGTGTGTTCTATGCTTCTTTTGATAAATTACCTTTAAATTTCTTTTCATTCTATTTGAATCGAAAAATGTGTAATATTTGCTGATTTCCTGACGATAAAAGGTCAATTTTATCCCTTTTCACACTCACATTTCTTAGATTGTTAGACGCAAACACTGTTGTAAAATGTCAGAAAAGTTGTCAGCCATTTTCTTTCTAAATCTTTTCATTTCTTTTGGTTTTTGTTCTTCCTAACTTTTTTTTTGTAATTTATGAAGTGTTCTTTGTTAATTAACTTTATTATTTATTTTTCCATCATAGAACCTTCTTTGCTTTTATTTTCTAAATTTTAGTTTTTAATCCATGTTAATTGAGATAACCTATAGTATATCTAGGGTACAATATGGTACACTCTGTTTAAATATAAACCAGTTGTTCAGTTCTCCAACCTTCTCAACTATACAGCTATGGCTTTAGGTAAAACATGGAGATTTACTTCAAATATTTTCACAACTCCTTTTATGAAGAGCTTTAAAGATGAACAAAAATTTGTTCAAATATACGATAATTAAATACTTATGCGCGCATGAAATCAATACTGGAGGAGCTACAAGGGAACAAAGTTGTACACGTAATTATAGTTTTAGTGGAGTGTGCGGTATATTAATTTATATTAAATATGTAGTTTTTATTGATTGGTGGTAGTGATATTATTTCAGACAAAGATTATGAAGAAACATTTTTATAATAGAATTAAAAGAATATCTTGAGAGAAGTATGAATCCTAGACGAGTTCCATCTCTTATTTCTTAAAATAATGCTTCTTCGTATTTCCTCATTATTTTAAAAAGAAACGTATTCTGGAATAATTTCAATATTTTTAAAAGTTTTCTTTAAAAAAAATGGAATAAAGTTATGAACCAAACCACGAAAATTCATCTATGAAATGTCAAAAATAATAATCTGCCATGAGTTTCATCAACGATTTACAATGGTACTATTTAAAAACATATCTCAAAAAGAATCATCAAGAGGGGTGAAATCTAAGATTTTTTTCCAATATGAAGTCTTTAGACCGCTTTTCTAGATAGATAGTAGATTTTATATTTTTCAAATAAAAGCTTTTAAAGATTTGTTTTGAATAATTTAACACCAAAGGGTCAAAAAAAAAAACATGAACAATCCCTTTAAATAAAAAAGTATCTGATATTATTGATGCAGATTGTAAATTAGAACTAACTCTGAATTCAGCTAAATAGAAAAATACTTTCTGCGAATAAAGGATGGAATTCAAATCTTACAATATTCATGAAATGGCGTTCTATTTTCAAAAATATGTAAATATGCAAAGATCTATTATATAATGACAACAGATCACTGCACTGTAGCGAGTTTTAGTTTTAGACTTTTCATGATTTAAATTAATATTTTAAAATTATGAGTTAAGACGCACAATTTGTTAGTAAAATCAATTAAAAGTTAAAAATAGATATAAACAACCGACCAATTTCTCCGTATCTTTAGAACCCATTATCCAGATCAAACCTTCCTTACATTTTGGTATGAAAGAAACTTAACATTAAATCAAGTTAACAACAAGGAAATAAATGATTGTCCATAATGAACGAATAATGTATTATGAATAACTCTGTACTTAATATATTTAAATAAGACTGATAATTGCTCTGGTATCAGTTCCATCAGAAGACCCAATCTATACAAAATGGTGACCCTGCTCCAGTCTGACTGCTTTGCTCCAGTCTGATTACTTCATTCTGATTCAATTCTTCCCTTCCCTGCCAAATAAGCTACTACAACTCATGATGTTCCTTCTGTTCTCCTGGTTTTCCATGTTTCAATAAATCTTTGAATTTACCCCAGCGCAACAATGCATACATTTATCTTGAACTCAAAATATGTAAACGGGTGTCCAAGTAAACATGATTTTTTATAAACGATTTAAAATCTATTAATTTCTAATACTGCAACTTTCTGAATTTTTATGAACGCTACGTTCTTCGGTATTCGTTTTAAACCATTTTCTCCTTATAGGCGCAACAGATGGATGCAATATTAGTTAGCAATCACCATTAAATATTTTTCGACGTAAGCCTATTTTTCGCTAACACACCCTTTAATCTTGAAATATGATATTTCAACCTCTTAAAATTGAAAAATTAACAAATATTTTAAAGGAAATCACGACTGGGATGATGGGCTAGCTGGGCTTCAACCTTTTGTTAATCAGGTAAAAAATGGAAGTATAAAATTAGTTTTTTTTCATTTAAAAAAATGTTTAGGTTAATTTTCCAGTCCTAGCTTCGAATATAGTTTCAGAAGACTTGAAGGGAGTATCAAACTCAACTGTTGTACAGGTTAGAAAAATCTAAATTGTTGTACAGGTACAAATATTTTGAATTGTTGTACAGATTAGGAATATTTACCTGCAATTATATATTTAGATTAATGGAACTATATATTTAGGTTAATGGAACTATATGTTTAAGTTAATGGAACTATACGTTTAGGTGAATGGAACTATATGTTTAGGTTAATGGAACTATATGTTTAGGTTGATGGAACTATATGTTTAGGTTGATGGAACTATATGTTTATGTGAATGGAAATATATGTTTAGGTTAATGGAACTATATGTTTAGGTTGATGGAACTATATGTTTAGGTTGATGGAACTATATGTTTAGGTTAATGGAACTTGTATGTTTAGGTTGATGGAAATATATGTTTAGGTTAATGGAACTATATGTTTAGGTTGATGGAACTATATGTTTTGTATGTTTAGGTTAATGGAACTATATGTTTAGGTTAATGGAACTGTATGTTTAGGTTAATGGAACTGTATGTTTATGTTAATGGAACTATATGTTTAGGTTAATGGAACTGTATGTTTATGTTAATGGAACTATATGTTTAGGTTAATGGAACTGTATGTTTAGGTTAATGAAACTGTATGTTTATGTTAATGGAACTATATGTTTAGGTTGATGGAGTTAAAGTTGGAATTATCGGATATACTTTGCTTGGCACTCCTAATATGTCAAATTCAGATGAAAACGTAAGAATGTATTTTATTCTAATCTATGATTGATCTTTTAGCGAACTTGTTATTTGAAGCTGGTGCTTAATCATTAGAAAACAGCTGAAACAAATTTTTCACAATTTCTCTGTGGCAAATGACGATATATACTGACAAGTTTAGCTGGGTTTACCCATCCATACATACAAACTCTGATTTTTAAATCCCTTTATCTTATAGCAAACCAATGTTGAAGACCTTGAATAGTTCAAACTATTAATTTTTGTTTGTTTAAATAATTTGAAATATCTATGGTTTATGTCATCAGGTTGCTGAGATATAGGGATTAGAAAATTAATTTTATTCCTTTTCCCTTTTTTTGTATTTGCAGTGCAGAGCCCTATCCATTATTTGCACAAAGGTTTGCCAATATTTGATGTATGAATATTGCAAAGGCTGCCAATGTTGCAAAAGTTTGAATTTAAACTTTGCAAATATTGGAAAGGAATGATTGAATAAAGTTCAAAGTTGGACATACTCTGGGCCTATAGTATGTTGAAGATATCATATTCTGGGCCTATTGTATGTTGAAGATATCATATTCTGGGTCTATTGTATGTTGAAGATATCATATTCTGGGCCTATTGTATATTGAAGATATGATATTCTGGGCCTATTGTATGTTGAAGATATGATATTCTGGGCCTATTGTATAATGAAGATATCATATTCTGGGCCTATTGTATATTGAAGAAATCATATTCTGGGCCTATTGTGAGTTGAAGATATCATATTCTGGGCCTATTGTATATTGAAGATATCATATTCTGGGCCTACTGTATGTTGAAGATATCATATTCTGGGCCTATTGTATGTTGAAGATATCGTATTCTGGGCCTATTGTATATTGAAGATATCATATTCTGGGCCTACTGTATGTTGAAGATATCATATTCTGGGCCTATTGTATATAGAAGATATCATATTCTGGGCCTATTGTATGTTGAAGATATCATATTCTGGGCCTATTGTGAGTTGAAGATATCATATTCTGGGCCTACTGTATGTTGAAGATATCATATTTTTCTCCAGGTTTTCTTCTTTGACGAAATAGAATCTGTGCGAGCAGAAGCGAGAAGATTAAAGGATAGAGGAGTTAACATTATTATAGCGACCGGACACTCTGGGTAGGTTTTTTTATAATAGTTTAATATTAATTCTGTTCTATTTTGTTTCTTTACGCTTTTTTTCTGTGAATTTAAAGGTTACAATTCAAAATCGGACATGGCCATCTTTAAATTGAGGTTATTCAACTTATATCTATAGTCACCTTAATTTATTCTAGCAATAGCCTTAGTTTTGATTTTAAATAGTTTAATGAAATATAAAGCACAGCATTGCTTAAAAACCATTTAATTAGATAAATTGATTTTCAAGCTATACTGGTAACACTAATCAAATAATAATAATTTTGGACTAATATTTGTCATTTTTTTCTGCAATATGATCAAATAAGTTTGTTTCCCACCCGAAGCCTGCTGCGCAATATACGTGGATTTCTAGGAAGTGAAATAATGAAGAGAACTTTTCTTTGTCCAGATTATTCAGAGAAAATATTATTTTAAAATAGGAATCAATTAGTTTAGAATAGAGCTCTTAGAACCAGAGTCTCATAAAAGTTTTTAATTTTATTTTTATTCTGAAATAATTTATCCGAAATTTTAATGTTTTGAACTAAACAAGTCTAATTTAAAATATTTCTCGTTCAAGGGACAGTAAAAAATTTAAGGGTTATTTTTCAAGGTATACTCTGGATAAGAAGATGGCAAGTGAGGTTGAAGAGCTGGATTTAGTAGTTGGGGGTCACTCCCATACTTTCCTCTATACAGGTAGATTTCATGGAGGTCACTCTCATACTTTCCTATATACAGGTAGATTTCATGGAGGTCACTCTCATACTTTCCTATATACAGGTAGATTTAGTGGAGGTCACTCCCATACTTTTCTATATACAGGTAGATTTAGTTAAGGTCACTCTCATACTTTTCTTTATACAGGTAGATTTAGTGGAGGTCACTCCCATACTTTCCTATATAAAGGTAGATTTAATGGAGGTCACTTCCATACTTTCCTATATACAGGTAGATTTAGTGGAGGTCACTCCCATACTTTCCTATATACAGGTAGATTTAGTGGAGGTCACTCCTATACTTTCCTCTATACAGGTAGATTATTGGTGTTCACTGACATACTTTCCTATATACAGGTAGATTAAATGGAGGTCACTCCCACTCTTTTCTATATACAAGTTGATATTTTGGAGGTCACTCCCATACTTTCCGATATACAAGTAGATTTTTTGGAGGTCAATCCCATACTTTCCTATATACAGGTGTAGATTTAGTGGAGGTCACTCCCATACTTTCCTTTATAAAGGTAGATTTAGAAGAGGTCACTCTAATAATTTCCTATATACACTATACAGGTAGATTTAGATGAGTCCACTCCCATCTTTAAACTTTCATATGAAATTCAAACTTTATGAAAACATATTTACGCAATTATACATAATACTTAAAATGTAAAGAGAAATCCTTTAAAATCCATATTTTCTAAAATATATCTTGTTAAGGTCACCCTCCCAGTACAGATAAACCTGAAGGACCGTATCCTACCTATATAGAACAGGAGAACGGTAGAGTTGTTCCTGTTGTTCAAGCCTATGCTTATACTAAATATATAGGATTACTCACATTAAAGGTAAAAGTTTCTAATAGATAGATAGATAGATAGATATATTTATTTGACTAAATATTTAATTAAAAACAATTTAAATTGCACAGTTTTTACATTTTAATTTAAATAAAACCAAATAAAACAAAAACAATTTAGAACAAAAGGAAAAGGAGGAAAATGAAAAGTAGTAGATAGAGGAAAGGTATTGAAGAATAAAGAGGAAAAGAAGAAGAAAGGATCGTAGGGGGGGGGGGACAACCCAGCACACAAAGTTTATAATGTTAATGTTTTTTTTTTGTTTTGTTATAATAACAGGGGAAAGGGGATAGAATCAAGATTTAGTAATATCTTTTTAACCTGATGGTGGAATCCTTTGATATTTTGAACTTAGATTATTTAATCTAATCGTATGAATGGTTTAAAATATCTAAGGTCGGGTTGCAAAGATATTTGTATTTTAAAAAGTAGGGTTTGTGGCAAAAACTCAATTCCTTAATTATAGTTTATGATGTCACTAAAAAACGTTAATAATTGATTCAAAAACGAGATTTAATTTTTACATTTGAAGTTTTGGAAATTCTCTGAAGCGTTTAGCTCTTTCAGATTGTTGTCACATGTCAAAGCCTCCGTTTTGGACTGATTTTCGTTTCTTTAAGATTATTTGCGCAAAATGTCCGATCTAATTGGGCAAACGGAAACCTTTTATCATGTATGAAGCAAATTATATTAAGCTTTGATGTAAATATAAGGATCCAAAGATTTGTTTAAAATCTTACAAGATGTTTGCTTTCAAAAATTACTCCAAAGAAAAAATTAGAGAGTCAAAGAATTTTAAGAAATCAGACACATGCATTAGATTTGCTTTGAACATGATACAAGGTTTAAAAACTTTGCACCATTAATAAATTGGTAAGGAATTTGCCACAAACTTAAATTTTTAAATTCGATGGTGTAAACTTTTAATATTTTTATTAGAAAATAAGAGTTTGTGGCAAGAACTCAGTTTCTTTTTAGTATGAAGTTTAAAATCAAATTTATTCATTTTTTCACAAAAATTCCAAATTTTCTTATTTGCATATTTCTAAACGACAAAATTTCTAACATTTTACACTTTAAAATATTTGGCAGTTTCCCGTTTCAATAGACATGTACTTGAAATATGCAAATATAAACATTCAACCAGATATGTGTCTTCAAGAGTCATCACATAGAGTTTCCGTAAATTTTAGAAACACAGTGTTTGGCTTAAATTACTTTTTTGATATGTTTATACTTGGATTTTCTTTTTAAATATACAAGAAAGTTGTTTACACATCTATAAATATACAAGAGTGTTATTTACACATTTATAAATATACAAGAGTGTTGTTTACACATCTATAAATATACAAGAGTGTTATTTACACATTTATAAATATAAAAGAGTGTTATTTACACATCTATAAATATACAAGAGTGTCATTTACACATTTATAAATATACAAGAGTGTTGTTTACACATCTATAAATATACAAGAGTGTTATTTACACATTTATAAATATACAAGAGTGTTGTTTACACATCTATAAATATACAAGAGTGTTATTTACACATTTATAGATATACAAGAGTGCTATTTACACATCTATAAATATACAAGAGTGTTATTTACACATTTATAAATATACAAGAGTGTTGTTTACACATCTATAAATATACAAGAGTGTTATTTACACATTTATAAATATACAAGAGTGTTGTTTACACATTTATAAATATACAAAAGTGTTATTTACACATTTATAAATATACAAGAGTGTTGTTTACACATATAAGAATGTTTTCACACCATTTATACAAAAATTCAAGATTTTTTTCGAGAGATTGAAGTTTGCAAGCAGCATATTGATTCCACTCCGCTGGAGCGGAGGCCACCAAAGGGAAATTGTTTTCAGCGGAGGAAATGCACAATTGTGATTTAATACTAGCGGAGGGATGGTAATTAACACTCAGGACACTAATTACTCTATCGGAGGGATGGTAATCAACACTCAGGACACTAATTACTCTATCGGAGGGATGGTAATCAACACTCAGGACACTAATTTCTCTATCGGAGGGATGGTAATCAACACTCAGGACACTAATTACTCTATCGGAGGGATGGTACTAATTACTCCATCAGAGAGATGGTAATTAACACTTAGGACACTAATTGCTCTATCGGAGGGATGGTAATATTTATGTATAAATATACACATAAACTTCTTCCTCCATCTTTTGAAAATATTTTTAAAAAGCTTGGAAACTTTGAAAGATCTCTTAACTATCAACTTGACATTCTCAAAATGTGCTCATTACAGTATTTACCATCAAGCTTTCTTCTTAAGATGTGGAATAACCTGCCTCTTGACTTAAAAAGAAGAAACTCTCTAAGTATATTAAAAAATAGACTACTAAATTCTCTTTTTGAAAATTATAGGACAATGTGTCATAAACCGAATTGCTATTCATGTAAAACTAATTAGATATGTTTTAATATGCTTTGATATTTGTTGTGTACATGTCAGAAAATTACTTTAAACTCTAGTTATTCGAATTAATGTATAAACTATTTTGCATATGATAAATTCGCACCCTGATCTCTAATCGTTCTCCTTAAATCTATTTAATTGAAATATTTTGTTATTATGACTAACATTAGGTGGAAAAAATAATCAAAACAGCCTAGAGCTATTTTCCACCTAATTGCTTTATACTTGTACTGTTAATTTAATCATCAATTTGTGATTTTAAACTCTATCTGTATACAGATACATTTATTTTAGCAATAAACTTTATCTTATCTAATTAACACTTAGGACACTAATTACTCTATCGGAGGGATGGTAATTAACACTCAGGACACTAATAACTCCATCGGAGAAATGGTAATTAACGTTCAGGACACCAACTACTCCATGGGAGGGATGGTAATTAGAACTCAGGACACTAAATACTCCATCGGAGGGATGGTAATTAACACTCAGGACACTAATTACTCTATTGGAGGGATGGTAATAAACACACAGTACACTAATTACTCCATCGGAGGGATGGTAATTAACACTCAAGACAATAAATACTCCATCAGAGGGATGGTAATTAACACTCAGAACACTAATTACTCTACTGGATGGATGGTAATAAACACACAGAACACTAATTACTCTATCGGAGGGATGGTCATTAATACTAAGGACATTACCATTCCTCCGATGGAGTAAATAGTGTCCTGAGTGTTAGTGGCCTCCGAGGGGGGACTTAATTTGCAGCTGCAAACTTTAATGTCTCATTTTTTCACATCCTTTATATAAAAATACAAGAATGTTACACCCTGTATATAAAAATACAGGGTTACTACACCCTGTATATAAAAATACAAAAAATGTTACACCCTGTATATAAAAATACAAAAAATGTTACACCCTGTATATAAAAATACAAGAAGGTTACACCCTGTATATAAAAATACAAGAATGTTACACCCTGTATATAAAAATACAAATATGTTACACCCTGTATATAAAAAAAAGAATGTTACTACTCCCTGTATATAAAAATAAAAGAATGTTACTACACCCTGTGTATAAAAACACAAGAATGTTACACCCTGTATATAAATATACAAGAATGTTGCACCTATCAGAATGTTACTACACCCTGTATGTAAAAATACAAGAATGTTACTACACCCCTGTATATAAAAATACAAGAATGTTTTACACCCTATAAAAAACCATATACAAGATTGTCTCTAAAAGTTTGATGAGTATGGAGAACTAGAATATCCTCTGGGCTTCGCTGCACCAATACTTTTAGATCAATCAATAAAAAAGGTAGTTATATCTCTTTAATGTTTTTATTCGTTTTTAATTTTAATTTTTATCAGAGGTCGAAATAAAATTTAAAGAAAGTGTGAGATATAATAACAATATAATTGATAAAAAATAAGCAGTGAATCTAAATTTCAATTTGATAATTCTGTTTTATAATTTTTTATTAAAAAGAGAAGACGACTTGAAAGGGATTTTCTGAAACCCTTGTATCCTAGGATACATGGATAGAGGAGCAGTAGAAACCCTGATCTATCTGAAACCCTTCACTACACCTTTATCCTTGTATCCTAGGATACTTGGGTACTGGAGCAGTTGAAACCCTGGAAGATCTATCTGAAACCCTACACTCTACTTTATCATGTATTCTATAGGATACTTGGATAGAGGAGCAGTTGAAACCCTGGAAGATATCTATCTGAAACCCTACACTCTACTTTACCATGTATTCTATAGGATAAATGGGTAGAGGAGCAGTTGAAGCCCTGGAAGATCTATCTGAAACCCTACACTCTACTATGTCCTTGTATTCTATAGGATACATGGGTAGAGGAGCAGTTGAAACCCTGGAAGATCTACTACTTTACCATGTATTCTATAGGATAAATGGGTAGAGGAGCAGTTGAAGCCCTGGAAGATCTATCTGAAACCCTACACTCTACTATGTCCTTGTATTCTATAGGATACATGGGTAGAGGAGCAGTTGAAACCCTGGAAGATCTATCTGAAGCCCTACACTACACCTATATCCTACATCTCCAATCCTCTTTACAGAGAGAAGAATGAAGAAAGCAGTATGGGTGAATATAAACATAAATTTTACCAAAACATACCTGGGTCAATAAAGTTAAATCTCGTGTAATGTTAAAAAATATTTGATCAGAATATAAAAATACAAAGAGCTTTCGGTGCTACAAAGAATGCAATTTTTAGCCCAATTCTATCGTGATCATGTCATCAAGTTTAATGAGTAGAATAAACTCTTCTATTTATATCTTAGTTGATCTTTGATTTTCTTTCCAGGAAATCTTGTAGCAGATTCAATGGCAGCTGCTTGGCCTGGAGCTAATATAGCGCTCATTAATGATGGTGGAATTAGAACTGGAGTAGAGAAGGTGGGATTAGAACTGGATTAGAGAAGGTGGGATTAGAACTGGATTAGAGAAGGTGGGATTAGAACTGGATTAGAGCAGATGGGATTAGAACTGGATTAAAGAAGGTGGGATTACAATTAGATTAGAGAAGGTGGGATTAGAACTGATTAGAGAAGGTGGGACGAGAACTGGGTTAGAGAATGTGGAATTGAAACTGGATAAGAGAAGGGGGGATTTTAACTGGATTAGAGAAGGAGAGATTAGAAATTGATTAGAGAAGGTTGGATTAGAACTGGCTAAGAGAAGGTGAAGGATTAGATCTGGATTAGAGAAGGTGGGATTAGAACTGGATTAGAGAAGGGGGGATTAGAACTGCACTAGAGAAGATGAGATTAGAACTGGATTAGAGAAGGTGGAATTAGAATTGGATTAGAGAAGGTGGGATTAGAACTGGATTAGAGAAAATGGGAATAAAACTGGATTAGAACTGGATCATGGAAGGTTGGATTATAATTGAATTAAAGAAGATGAGATTAGAACTGGATTATCAAAGGCGGGATTATAATTGGATTAGAGAATTGTGGGATTAGAACTGGATAAGAGAAAATTGGATGAGAACTGGATTAGATCTAATCGAGATCGAGAAGGCAGGATTAGAACCGGAGTTGAGAAAATGGGATTAGAACTGGATTGAGAAGTTGGGATTAAAACCGAATTCGAGATTATGTGATTAAAATTGGATTACAAAATAATAGTATTAGAGAAGTTATGTTTATGGAAATACGGTGGTATTATATGGGTTCTTTAGAAATCTATGTACACATTTATGTACAGGGCTATGTAACTGGAGAGGATGTGTACAACGTACTGCCCTTTAACAATACAGTAGACCGGATCCAGTTATCAGGTGCACAGTTGAAAGATGTTCTAGAAGATGCAGTTATTGATTTCTGTCCAGATCAAACATGTGAACCAGAACACTTCTATCAGGTTAGGTTAGATGGGTCGTCTTTACAGCAGGTTAGATGGGTCGTCTTTAAAGCAGGTTAGATGGGTCGTCTTTACAACAGGTTAGATGGGTCCTCTTTACAACATATCTTTTGTTGTCCGAAGAATTCATAAATATTCTAGGTTTTTAGTTTATAAATATTCTAGGTTTCTAGTTTATAAATATTCTAGGTTTCTGGTTTATAAATATTCTAGGTTTCTGGTTTATAAATATTCTAGGTTTCTAGTCTATGAATACTCTAGGTTTCTGGTTTATAAATATTCTATGTATCTAGTTTATGAATATACTAGGTTTCTAGTCTATGAATATACTAGGTTTCTGGTTTATGAATATTCTAGGTTTCTAGGTTATGAATATTCTAGGTTTATGGTTTATGAATATTCTAGGCTTCTAGTTTATAAGTATTCTAGATTTCTAGTTTATAGATATACTAGGTTTCTAGTTTATGATTATTTTGGTTTCTGGATTGAGAATATTCTAGGTCTCTGTTTTGAGAATATTCTAGGTCTCTGGATTGAAAATATTCTAGGTTTCCGGATTGAGAATATTCAAGGTTTCTGGATTGAGAATATTCTAGGTTTCTTGATTGAAAATATTCTAGGTTTCTGGATTGAGAATATTCTAGGTTTCGGGATTGAAAATATTCTAGGTTTTGGATTGAAAATATTCTAGGTTTCTGGATTGACAATATTCTAGGTCTCTGGATTGAAAATATTCTAGGTTTCTGGATTGAGAATATTCAAGGTTTCTGGATTGAGAATATTCTAGGTTTCTGGATTGAAAATATTCTAGGTTTCTGGATTGAGAATATTCTAGGTTTCTGGATTGAAAATATTCTAGGTTTTGGATTGAAAATATTCTAGGTTTCTGGATTGAGAATATTCTAGGTTTCTGGATTGAAAATATTCTAGGTTTCTGGATTGAAAATATTCTAGGTTTCTGGATTGAAAATATTCTAGGTTTCTGGATTGAAAATATTCTATGATATTCGGATCAAAAACCTGGGCCGACGAATACGTAAACTTGAGTATAAAACTCTGGATGGCAGGTGTGGTTCATTTTTAATATATTTCTTATATTTCCTTACTTCCTTGTATATGAATAGCAAAATATAAATGAAAATATTCTTATCTTGGAAAACATACAAAGTATATTCGTGTACTGTGAGGCCCGAAAAAAACTGTGAAATTGGAGCAATCTTCAATGTGGAATTGTGTTATAAAACAAATAGTAATACCAGTAGCTTGAAATTGCACAATTGCTGTGTCTCATCTCATGGTCTTTAAATCATGATTTAAGTCTAACAGTTGTATACCTATTCCACAATTTAAAGAATCCAACCGAAAATAAATTTAAAATATATGATGTTTAGGTTTGTACCTGTACAAGATGAACTTATATACCCCGTTGTAACCGTTAGGTTAAGCTATTCTCACATGCGGCAAAACAGAACGAATAAACTTTCTTATTAGCTATTAATCATACACTGAGGTGTAAAAAGAAGGAAAAAAACAAAACGGTCATTCCATGAAGAAGGAATACACCATTTGACAATGAAATAGATTAAAATTCTAGTTATTCAGATCATGAACAGGCTCCGAAATGTTTTTTTGGACATTTTTTTGTGATAGTTTTGGCTATCTTAAAAATGCTATAAAAGTCTAATTTTGTGTTACTGAACATGCTCTAAAACTTTTAATTTTAGACCTACGTCAAAAACTTTGAAAGATTTTGAAATCTCATAAAATGTTCAATTAAAAATTTCCGCGAAATTTTGACCCCCCCCCCCAAAAAAAAAAAAAAAATAATAAAAACTAAAAAATCACATCAGACCACAAATCTCAAATAACTAGTCTCCGATTTTTGAATAAAAAATATATGTAATGTCTGACTCTGAACTCATTTAACAATATAGAATATGGGTATTATTCTAACAACAATTTAACAAGGAATATCTTAGTCATTTAATCAGTATTTCCTGATACATTAGATTTAGATGATATTTTTACATAAATATAACATGGAATTATAAAATAACAGAATGTTCTTTAAAAAAATTGGTAAGGTTTATATTTCTGACATGTTTTAAAAACTGTAAATATTATCACAAAAATGGTCTAAATTTGTAATGAAATCGAATTTATAATTTCTTGATAAAAAAAATATTTTTGAGTATAATACTGTTGTATAAACATTCCTTGAAAATTGCCTTAAGAATGATAACCATATTGATGTTATTAAAAAAATTCGATTCTTCCGAGTAAATTTTGGTTTTTTTTAAAGAAATATTCTCAATTTAAAAAAAAAATCATTTTTGGTTAAAACTACTCTCATTTTGGCAATCGACCAACATTTTTTAAATGGCCAAACCACACTAGAAACATTCCCCCCCCCAAAAAAAAAAAAGAAATTTGACCTTAATAACTAAAATCTTAAGTTTGAGAAGAAACTATTTTTTTGGTGTTTTCCTTCTTCATGGAATGACCCAAAAACTATTTTTTCTCTTTGATTATTAGTGAAGCTTTAAAGATATTAAAGAATAAAGTGAAAAAGAATTTGATTAGTTTTCTGTTGCAACCTGGGAAATCAAAGATGGCGGAATTTACGAGCACGTGTAAACAAGGTCCTCTAGACTACACAGTACTTACAGGTAGAACAGGTTTACGAGCATGTATATAAACAAGGTCCTCTAGACTACACAGTACTCACAGGTAGAACAGGTTTACGAGCATGTATAAACAAGGTCCTCTAGACTACACAGTACTCACAGGTAGAACAGGTTTACGAGTATATGTAAAAGGGGCAGTGCTTGATTTACAAAAATACCCCTTAAATCTTTGACTGTCTATAGACGACCTAGAGATCTCGGTGTGTACCAAATAGTTTTTAATTTGCCAATAAACCGGAGTGTACGCTGAACAAAGCTCTGATGTTACTTGTATTCCTCTTAAATACCGAATACATCAAAGGAGTTTTCAAAAATACGAACTAAAATATTTATTTTTTTGTCGACTTCTAGAAAGTAAAATTTAATATTTCAATGATATAAAATAGCTAAAACAATTACAACACTGTGTGCAAATTTCTAATGAAAAGCTAGTCTGACATCTTTGATCAGTCCAAGGTTTAAAGGGTTCTGCTGTAATGAATAAGACGCCTACAGTCCCGTTTTAATCAATATATAATATTTTTTTTAATCTTCTATTTTTTAGAATATTTAAAGAAAAATAATCCTGTGAATGTAAAAGTGGAGGGAAGGATTACAATCAGATATGTACAGAAACGTTGAACGTGTTATTTTGCTATTAAATGCAATAAGATTGTACGTTGCTGTAACCAAAATTATTTGATCACTTTTAAAAAAAAAATACAAAAATTTAATATTTATTATCAACATCATAGAGATAAATGTAATAATATCTATGTTTCTATACAAAAATGTAGAAAATACAAAATTTTTTGAGTAAATCTTTATTCATGTAGAAGTTAAATAACATTAATAAATATGTAAGTAAAACAATAAAACAATAAATCACATGGAGACAAATATGAAATTTTACAATGTATTAAAAATTGACATTATTCAATATTTTCTAAATATTCCGCATGGATAGTATATCATGGATAGTATATCATGGATAGTATATCATGGATAGTATATCATGGATAGTATATCATGGATAGTATATCATGGATTCTGTAAATCCTAAGATGAAGGGAATGGGTAAAGACAGCAGAGATCATATTGCATATATTGTTATGAGTATACTTGAGAATAAATACCGCATGAACGGAAGACGACTTTAATGTCATCAACACTTAATTCCTATGGCTACATGGGACATATAAAGCAATTTAGTGCACTGTATAGAAGAAACCCTAACTTGTGATTTATCCAGAACATTCTGTTCATAACTTTGAACAAAATGTTATTAATTTTGAAATACTTTTGATACTTCGATGTTGAGAACATAATGCTAGGGTTTTTTCTAACAGCAATTGTTTGCCATGAAAATATATTCATTTTTAGTTTTGAAATCACAGATTAGTAAATAAATTAGGCTTAAATATCACCGGGTAACATTACTTAATCATTTATGTATTGTTTAAATAATTTTGAGTTTTAGCTCTTTTAGTTTTTTTAGTTAAGTTCTTATTTGAGTGCAACATGACGTTATCGCGGTCCAAAACGTCGTGTATTGGTTATTTGTAAAAAATCTAAATTCTCTACTATTGCAGTACAAAGATGTAGTACATATAGCCTTGCATAGTGTATAGTACCCCTCGGTATAAAATTTTTATTCATAAAGTAACCCCTTAATTTTTTAGCAATTATAACACACTTCATCTTTTGACAAATTGATTCTTTTAAAAAGTAATTTTTCTATAAAACTTCTGAATCATAAAGTCTGTCTGAATATTTCATTAAATTAAATTTAAGTTTAGATTTTTCAAAATGGCGTCTGGAATATTATAATCCTTGTGGATCTTGTACAGTACGGTCCCCTACAGCTGATTGTATTCTATCCTCCCTGTCAGAATGGAAAATACACAAGTTAGCTTGACAAAATCCGGGACACAAGGGAGCACAGAAATGTCCAACCTCACTCTGTAAATACAAATAAAAATTAGATTTTGTATCCGAGGTTCTTGAGATAAAAGATTTATGTGTAGTACGCACTTTGAGATAATACATTTATTTGTAGTACGCATTTTACATCAGAAATATTTCTGCTACAGCTGGTTACCCACAACGAATAAGACTTGTATAACGACTATAATCTTTGTTCTTACATGCATAGTTCTCTGCAGCTGTATAAACTTGGTTCTTTTGTAAAACAGTAAGCAAAGTATAAAAAGATTTTCATTTAATCAAATTTTAATGGCTTTATACTTAAGCTTCGCGTCGTAATAAAATTCTCGTCCTTTTTGGTCAACCCTGTATGTGAGAATATATTTGTCTCAGAAAATTCAATAATGAGGATGAAAAATTCAAATATTCCTGTTTTTAACAACTTTAAAATAGAAATGTGTAACCATAGAGAATAGAATATATAGAGGAATTAGAAGAATCTCTCGGTATGAATTTTTTCAGTCCCTTTCAGCCTGAAAGGGAGTTCAAAGTGTACAAATCATGTAAATGTTCGCAAATTATATGCAGTAGAGTACATTAATACAGTATGTTCCCTAGACTATCCATTTCAATTTCGAATTTTTTAAACTGTTAAATAAACTTTATAATGAATTAGGTGAATAAAAACATCATTAGATTTATAGTTATAACGGAAAATCATCGTTTGTAAAGTGGAAGGCATAGAGTCTATGTGAAATGATCATTTCTCAGTTATGAAACCAGCCTATTTCATAATTTGGTTTTCTTTTAACAATAATTTTAGATTTTCTATAAAATGATATTCCAGGGCCCAACAGGTTATATGGCATAAATATGTGAAGTACACCTGCAGTATGGAAACAGTACAACAAAATGGCCGTTTTACACTTTTTTCCAGTAAATTCCTCTCTATATATTCTATTCTCTATGTGTGTAACATGTACTGTATACGTGTACTGAATACCATGTGCTTTTACACTGAGCCCAAAACTTAAGACAATGTATCATTATGAAAACCAGTTTTGAAACTCGGATATCACGAATGGGGTTAAGCAGTTTTGTGGATATCAATATTTTTGTTATGAAATGTTATTTTATTTAGTTTCTTCATATTCTCCATTTTCTGAATCTCAAATCTGATCAAAATCTTCACAAATGTCAAGACCACAAAAATATAATTCGGGAGTTTCTTTCAATGATACTCTTTTAAATTTCGGGCTCTGAGCCCAAAACTTCAGACGGTATCGATATGAAAACCAGTTTTGAAACCGGGGTTTCACGAATGGGGTTAAGCAGTTTTGTGGACATTAATATTTTTTTTATGAAATATTATTTTATTCAGTTTCTTCCTATTCCATTTTTATTGAATCTCTTAAATCAAAATCTGCAAAATGTTAAGACCCCAAAAAGGAAACTCGGAAGTTTGGTATAACGATACTCTTTAAAATTTCGGACTTATATATCCATGTTTCGGACACGATTATCATTACGACTTTAACGATGTACAAGTACAATGTGCACAAAAAACTGGAATTTAAGGATGGTTCTAACAATTCCAAAAGTCCGTTTTTAAGCCGTGCAACCGGCAATGATATACAGTCACGCTATTGTTACGCCCTACCAGAGCAGTGTAGATATATAGTATGCATTTGGCATCTTTTCTCGTCAACATAATTGAAAGAAAATAAAGAATAAACAAAAGTCCTGCTATTTCTAAAATGTGGTCTGCCTTTTTTGTTCCTTCAAAGTCCCAAGAGATATGAATGATTTCATTTAAAATTAGAAAATTTTTGTTTTATTAAATAAAGTGATATCTAACTAACCAAAATTTTCAATATCTCTGGTAATTTTAAACGCACAAAAAAGGGCGACCAGATTTTGGAAATGTCAGGTTTGCTTTGTGATTATCGTTCATCATCAATCCAATTTTTATAATTAATGACTATAGTTCCTGTGATTAACAACTCCAAAATTTTACCTCTTGTCAACTTATCATCTTTTTTTTAAATTAAGATTAACTACTTTTAAACTAATAGTAAACATTTAAGTGAAACATTTATCACAAAAAGTGAAAGTAAACAAGTGGTGACACAAATCCTTACATGGTTGCATTTCTCATTATGTTCATTTGAAGATAAGATATAGAGGTTAGAGGATGGGTTTACCAACCTCGAGATCCTGCTCCTGCCTCCGTGCACTGCTAGAGGATGCTTTATGACCATCCTCTTGGTTCTGTATGAACAAGGCAAACATGTAATCTGATTCAACCTGCAAAACTTTGAAGATACAGGGTGTTCAACGAAACATGACAGCTGAGAATCGAGTTGAAGTTAGGCCTTTTAAATTATTTTTGGCATTCAATTGTCAACCTTACTTTTACAGAAATAATTCTTGAAGCTAATCATAAAAGCTCTAAAAAAAGACTGACCACATTTTGGAAATTCAAAGACTAAGGGTATTTTACGATTATTGGCTTAATAATTTTATACCTTTTACTTGTAAAACTATTGTTGACAACTGAATGCAGCAAATTATCTTAATGATTAAAGATTGTTTTAAACTCGCTTCTAAAATCTTTTATAAAATAAACTTTGACCACTTGCCTTAGCAGAGTTCATAATAGAATGAAATCAGATGCTATGATTTAAATCCTAAGTCTCAAGTCTAGATTTATAAGTCTCAACTCTAACGTTCAAAGTAAGACCCGGCCGATTAAGATTTTGTCGAAGTCATAAACCGGAATTTTTAATTTTTTAAGGCTCAATCTGCCTTATTTCAGGTCTCAATTGCAGACTTGTCTTTAGTTAAGAATCATTTATGCCGAATTATTTAATTTGTGGCGTATGGATTTGTAAAGTTAAAAGGAATAGAAAATTAGATTCGAAATCGAGTTAACAGTTCCTTAGCCAAATGTTTTGAATTAAGTGAATGACTACGCTGTAAATATTTCTCTTATCAAGTCAAATCAAAATATACAACATTTTTGCTGAACCCCTGGTCCCCTTCTAAAAAAATTCTAAGAAGGATTTTCATAAATAATGTTTTTAAAGCTATTCTCTATAAAATTGTATTGAGTTAAAAACATTTTGATTATGCCTTGATTATTATTATACCTGGTTAAAAGCAGATGAAATTGAATTTGATGGCATTGGTTCTCTTTTACCCTGAAAAAAAATATCATTCTACACAATATATTATTATTAATTGTTTTCTTATTGATAAAGGATTTGAATCTTTGTAGTAAACTCAAATATTCTAATCCCTATATCTTTTCAACCCAATAATTAATTAATTAATATTTCAAATTATGAATTCTGTTAGATGAAAAAATCTAAGTTTGAAATATGAAAGGTTGTTTACACCATCAGGTTGCAAAGATAAAGGAATAGAAAGTTTTAGTTTGAGGCAAAGACTCGATTCCTTTAGATGATATGATTATAACCTGGAACAGCATAGCTATAAATCCAACTTCTTTTGGGGCTGAGCTTCTGCTCCCTTGTTTTGGTCTAGCAGAGACATCTGGTTTAGGTGTTCGTAAACTTAAGTCTGTAGGTTGACTTGGAACAAAGTCTGACTCACTTGCTGATTTCTTGACGCTATCCCGGTCACGCTGCCTTGCAGTCACCGCTCTAACAAGAGAATGTTAAAATCAAAATAAAAACTGAAGAAAAATTTTATGTTGCTTACCTTGGTAAATTTTCAAATACGTCTTTAGGGATGTCTTTAAATGTGTCTGATGGCATGTTTTCGTAAACATCAGAAGGCATGTTGTCGTATAGACTTCGACCAGGCATTTGATGGTATGTATCTGTTGGCATATCCTGAAAATAAGGTTTAAGGTTGGTTTGTGAAAAGATAAGTTTCTAAAGAAAAATCACCTGAAAAATGTCTAATCTACTAGAACTAGTTTTTCTGTTGCTAATCTAAACCAAATAGATTATCAAGTACAATAGGTGTAATCAACCAATTATACATGACGTCACAAGTGTCAAATATAACAAGGAAAACAACATTTTCTCCCAGTAGCTGACATGTTTTCCAAGATTAAACAAAAAATGTAAAAATAGAAAATAAAGAATACAAAATTGCATTTTTTTACTGTAAGATAAGCACTTTATTTTAAAATGATCACTATTATTAATACTTTTGTTGGACACAAAAACTGAATTGACACTTATGACGTCAGAATACAGCTGTACTGAGAGGGTAAAAAAAAATAAAAATTCTACGTTGCCATCTATTGTACTAGAATGTATTTGCTCTAAACATTAAATTATTCACTTTCACAACTTTTAACTTTAAAAGGTTAATCTGCACACATTAATTATTGATGATCTTGTTTTCAGATAAATATCATGCAAATAATAAACTAATTGCGCAGAATAAATATAACCTGGTCCATCTGCTTTACTGACGCCATTTCTGAAAACTCGTCCAGTCGTTCTTCAGCTTTTATTCTTTCAATCTTAACAAAACAATCTATTGATTAACATGAGCATTTTCCTATTAAAGGCAATGGAGCCTTTAATATAATATAGAGTTTTGGGACAATTCTTGGCCGAGCACAGGGTGTTAAATTAGTACCGTATCCATGTTTTTTTTTACAAACCAATTATTTTATTTGTGGTTTCTGTGCTTGCGCATTTCTATCTGTGTAATCAATGTATAAATTAACAGCATTACCACATTCAAGGTAGAAAAATGACTTTATCTTCCATATTTTTTATCGGATAAAGATTTGACAGAAACCGTTGTGAATTGGACATGCCCCCCTTAAAATAGACGGTCACTTAAACTTAGCTTATATTTTATCCAAGGTTATAATGCAAGGAAATTTATTTCAGAGGTGTACACATATTTTGTACTGCAGCGTACTGTCTCAGGGGGTAATGTAAACACAAGACAGATGTCACAGCCTGACATGGGAACCATCTTTCACATAAAAAATCAATGAAATATTCTTGTCATAGGAAACTATTATGTGAATTATCAAAATTTAAAACTTTTAACCCCCTCGGATACTAAACGAACACTGATGCATCTATTCTTGTTTACAAATTCCGCCCAAAGAGAACTAGTTTCAATATGTACGCAGAGTATACGCAACTGCAATTAACTTTCCTTGCATTATAAGCTTGATTTTATCTTAAGGATCTCAAATGCTATAACAGTCAAAAAAATAAACAGAGATTACAACTTTACTATACACAGTGAAGATATAAAGGTAGCAAGCTCTCAAGCAAAAATCGATGAGAATTTTGCCAATTACTTCTTTAGACTTGTCTTGGACCGCAAAAAAGTATAAGTGACTTTGTGAGGTCAAATAAATTGTCAAGAAGTTTCTACATTTTAAAGTCGACCCAATCTTGAGAATTGATGGAACTTTTCATAGGAGTCTAGGTAGATGTGATATAGATATTAGATACTCTTCAGTTTTTACCTTGGAATTCTTTAAATGCATAAATTTTGCTGCAGATAGCGACATCTCCAGATCACTTTGTTCTAACCTCAGGAGTCCAGCTGTTTTCAACCTCGGCTCCTAATTTAGAATTTTAAAAACATTAAAAACAAATGAGGCAAATATCAAACTAAAATATTCCAACGCAAAAATTAAACCGAATTGTCCATAGAATAATAAAGCTAAAATTACATTGCTTTGTTTTTAAAATCTTTATTCCCGGGGCTTCAAAAATGAGTCTATAAGAGGTCAACCCAACAAGACACAAAAAGATTGGCCAGGTCTAAAAGTGAAATCTTTACTTTTAAAGTAAATTCAAAGAATTCCATCTATCACTTAAAGGAATTATAGTTTTGATAATTATTTCTTGCAGTTAAAAGATAATACTAAGAATATCTAACCTTGAAGGTTTCTGGAATTCAAGCACGTTCGGTCAGTTTAAACATTAAGGTTTTTCCAGAAAAAAAAGATTGCCTCTGATGAGTTCAAAACCAAAAAAACATTTAGAATTAGTGTTTTGTTATAAACACAAATTTAACATATATCTGGGACCAGATTTAATACACATAGTTAAACCACAAACACTTAGTTGACCTGGTGCTCTTCAGCTGGGTCCCGCTCTAAAGAAGGGGTTTAACTTAGTCTGCACGGTTCAACAACTTCTCGCTCTGCATTAAACCTGATCCCAGAACTTTTTAAATTTCAATTATTGATTATGTATAATTCAGTTCTTGAGTTAAAAATGACTGATTTCCTGAGTTATCTCTGTTACTAAGAGCTGGGTTCTTGCTCCCGGAGCTGATACTATTCCTTCTCTGTTCCTTACTCCTGGTCCCTGGAGTTGGCGGGGGTTTACTCTTGAACCCAAACAGTTTTCTCTCCTCCTGCAGCAACATGTCAGACTTGCTCTAAATTAAAAAAAATGTAATCTATAAAGACTATCTATTTTCGGTACGTTTGGTTGGAAAACTTGTGGACATGGATAAGTTAGTTTTTGTGAATTAACCTTCTGATAACATCTTCACCTACAAGTTTTTAAATACGTTTGTTTTTCTCTTAAAATTAACGTATCGTTTTGAAAACGATAGTCTTTCGTACTTTTTAAAACGATCATTTGGGAACAGTCATTTTGAAAAGCTTTCGTTCCAAAAAATGATAGTTTCGTTTTTAATCTTGAAAAACTATCTACAATTCGTTTCATTTATTTTTATAAATTTTTTCATAATATACTGACCTTTGGTATAAAGTTTGCTCTGCCAAGGATATTTTTTGTTCCTTGAACTTGAATCAGAGGAAGTTGATCATCATCATCATCATCATTGTAATCATCTTCCATACTATATCTGTATTCTTGTTTTTCTGTCTGGTCAACAGAAACATTTTTTTCATAAATTTTGTTCTTTTATAACGAATACTATCAGAACTTTTCTTTGCAACCTGATCGTGTAAAAGTTTGATATTCTAACTATACTTACAAGAGAAGCATGCGCGATTAATAACACTAACCTTCAGCCTGTATCTGATTAAAAGTCTTGAAGATAAAATCGTATTTCTAGCTTGGAAAGTGATCAATTCTGATAATTTACCTTCCCTTGCTTCTACAGTAGAAATTTGCAGAGAAACTGCCATTGGAAATACTCAGTTTTCAAAAAAATCATTCTTGATCAAAAAAAAGCTTTTAAGGATTCCATTGAGAATCTTAAAGTCCACCCCAGAAATTCAATTTGAATTTAATTAATTGAATTTACGTCTACAGTCCCGTTAATTGTGGTCCCTGATGAACCATATAGATTGTTGTATTTTGTTGTGTTACAGAGCTGAAAGAATGTGTTTTTACAATTTTGTTTTCTAAATGTTTACTAATTACAATTAGAATTCTCAGAGTGTAGATTGTAAAAAGAAAATTGTAAAAGTTTTAAAGATATTCTGTTTCCTTGTCCAATTGGTTTTTAGGTGAGGTGAGAGGGTTCCCCAGGTTTAAGGAAGGAGACAGTCGGGAGGAAAAGGATTCAATTTCTTCATCTAAAAATGTTTTTATCAACATTTCTCTACAGTGTACACATATACTAGCTTTGGAATCCAGCTGTGCCTGGAACCTAAACTTTCTTTATGAAAGTCGACCTACTTATTTTAGAATTTCTAAACCAAGCTAAGAATATTCCCGTGGTTCTACCAAGTTCCCTTATCAAAATTTGAGGCAAATCTGTCAAGTGGTTCATACAAATGAACGAACAAATGAAGTTTACTATATATATATGAGATAACATGATACAGAAATCTTTATTATATTTTCTTTAATGAAACTTCTTCATTGATTTTCCATAAATGCGCGATCGAGACACTACTTTTTTCAATTTCACTAAAAGTTAGATAATGGTTGAAAGGTATCAAAGATAAAAAATCTCATATGATGGTTCTCTTTAAAGGGGACATGTCTCTTTATCTTTAAATAAATCTGACTGAATAGCTGAAGTATATACCTAGAATCTGCTGGGATCGTTTAGCTGATGTTGCTCTGAACCTGACAGCTGCTGATTTCTTGGATCTAGTTGTTGTAGCTCTAGAAAGAGGTGGTGCTGTTGGAGCAGGTCCTGGAGTTGAACTCTCATCATCCTAGATATAGTTAACTGTATTATATATATATATGCTGATGGAGCAGGTCCTGGAGTAGAACCCTCATCATTCTAGATAAAGTTTACTGTAATATATATATATATGCTGTTGGAACAGGTCCTGGAGTAGAACCCTCATCATCCTAGATACAGTTTACTGTACTATATATAAATGCTGTTGGAGCATGTCCTGGAGTAGAACCCTCATCATCCAAGATATAGTTTACTGTATTATATGTATATTCTTTTGGAACAGGTCCTGGAGTAGAACCCTCATCATTCTAGATAGAGGTGGTGCTGTTGGAGCAGGTCCTGGAGTAGAACCCTCATCATCCTAGATATAGTTTACTGTATTATATATATATGCTATTGGAGCAGGTCCTGGAGTAGAACTCTCATCATCCTAGATACAGTTTAATGTATTATATATATATGCTATTGGAGCAGGCCCTGGAGTAGAACCCTTATCATCCTAGATATAGTTTACTGTATTATATATATATGCTGTTGGAGCAGGTCCTGGAGTCCTTGAATTAAAGTTGTGCGAATTTTCACAACTTTAATTCAATGTATCTGTAGTTAAGAAAGTTTTTGAGAACATTTTAAAGAAAAATAATCTTACACTGTCTAGATAGGACTGCCCAGACTGTTGATTCTTCTTTTTTGTTTCTGCTGTGAAGACGACATGATTAGGTTGCCGCGCTGTTTTCACACGTGGTACTTCCTGCTGCGCAGTATCATATGATCCATACCGCGCACTATACTCGTCTACATCTTTTACTTTTGGCAGGCCAACCACCTGAACAGATATAATTTACAACTAAATGAGTTTAAGACCAAAAAATTATTTTTTACAGTGTGAACCAAAAAATGTTGGAATAATTGTTGTATTTGTTCTTGTTTACAGGAACTGAATTTTTGTCACGAACTAGATAATTTAATCCCTATATTCAAACTTCCTGATGATGAATACCTTTTAATACTTTTTCTGACAGAATTCACAGTTTGAACTATTAAAGGTTTATGACTATGGATTTTAAAGATATAGGGATGATAAAATTAGATTTTGTGACAAAGACTGAATTCCTTTGTAATTTTCAATGAATGCCACTTTTATTTATATCTAAAATTGGGGCACTTTTTTAAACGTTCAGTTGAAAATTAATTAATAATTCGCAACATTCTTTTCTGAGCAGAAAAAGGAAGACGACAGAAGTTAAGCTGTTTTCTAGTTCTGACTGTAAATAAAAACTGTCTTACAGTATTGTCTGAATATCCAAAAAGAGACTGCTCCAGCTCACGTAACTTTGCTTTCCTGGCCTGTACAACAGGATCCATCTTTGTGTTTTTCACTTGATTAACTTTTCTTTAACTATGTTTAAGAACATTTTCAGCCCATTTTTTCTATAGAAATATGATTAAAATCTAATTAACATTATAAAAATAATAATATTAAAAAGCTAAGAGAAAAAGCTTTACGTTTTTCTTGAAATAATAAGTGTGGAGAGACCTTTTATACATTAATGCTCACTGAAAACACATAGAAAAGGGAGAAATAAAGAAATTTTAGTTAATTATTTTGATGTTCCATTGGACGACAATGCATTAAAAGTTCCGATTTTACAAGATTATTTTATGATAATTCATAGTTATCTAAGGTCTATGACTTTTGGTTGCAAACATAAATGGATAAGAAAATCAGAGTTTGTGGCATAGCTCCGGCAAATATCTCTCCCTAATTCTCCTACTTTCTGATTTGCCCCTTTTGGCTCAAGTTTACATTCGAGCAAATATCCCCTTTAGACAACCAGTGCAACGATAAATTCAGACAAATGTCCTGTCGGGGTTCTTAATATAGCCTAAACGTATATATATATAGAAAAGTATTACTATTAAAACCAATTACAAAATAATATAATATATTATCAAGGACCAAGATATATTGGAATGCAGTTGCTTAGTTTTCCGTTTGAAAAATAGTTGCAAATAAAGCTGCAAAAACCATCTTTATAGTGATTATCCTATACTTATAATAATACTTCTATTGAGGAGACTGACAGTGTTGTTTCAAACTAAATTATTCACGGAGAAAGCTTAAACGTATTCCCGGAGGTACCTGGAGCTATATATAACGAACCCGGAACCTTTAAAAAAGATCAATATCCGTTTTTCCAAGGACACCGAATACTAAATATGAAGGAGTAGAGACTTTTTGCTGTCTTTGATTGTCCTTGTAAGCCCAGTAATTCTGTAACCAGTCTAATTTTGAACAATTATATATTTGATAGATTTCAAAATATTTAAATAATAACAACTCTGGACACTTCAATGTACTCTATATAATAGTGTATGTATAGAAAATAATAATAACATTATTGTGTTGTATTATTATGAAGGTTTATTATCATTAAAAATATTCGGTTTACAGAATATTTTCTAAAAAGTAAATTTAAACTTTATTTCTTCCAGTTTTATGTTTTAGTATTTTTTACATTTAAATGTAATCTGTTTAATCAAAATATTTTTCTTTGAGTATTTTTCTTTCTTTAAGAATATTACAAACAACTTTTTTATAAACTATTGCTCTGTAATTGGATAATGTGACAAAAATATTATATATCATGGTAAAAGGTATTCTAAAATTAAGAAATATCATGGTAAAAGGTATTCAAAAAAGAGATATATCATGGTAAAAGGTATTCTACCCCTNTATCATGGTAAAAGGTATTCTAAAAATAAGAAATATCATGGTAAAAGGTATTCTGAAAATAAGAAATATCATGGTAAAAGGTATTCTAAAAATAAGAAATATTATGGTAAAAGGTATTCTAAAAATAAGAAATATCATGGTAAAGGTATTCTGAAAATAAGTTTAACCTTTTCTTTTCGCAGCAGACAACTCAACTCTGGTTTTGACAGTTAGATGCTGGAGCAATAAAAAAATGCGTCACAAAAAACAGAGAGATAAAAACAGAGAGATAAAACAGATAGATAAAAACAAAGAGATAAAAACAGAGAGATAAGATTAGATCAAATAATCTTAGTTTAAGATATCAAAGGTTTTTATCAGGTTGCAAAGATATAGGAATTTGAAAATTTAAGTGTGTTGCAAAAACTCAATTTCTTTAAATAATAAAAATTTACTAGTCTGGTTTCATGTTCAATAAATAGTTTCAACTAATGATATTTATGGAACCTTAATCGATCCCCTCCCCCCCCCCCCCCCTCGATAAAATACATACACAATACACATACTCCATTTTTAGTTACTATTTCCTGTTGCTGAGACTAAGTTGAGAAAGCAATTTGGTAATTATTCTTGATAACTTAATAATTAATCAATTAATTAACAACAATTATTAACTTTATCTACAGAAACTTCTCTTCATATTGGTATTTGGTTCAGATGGTTAAATAAACTTGGAAAATAATTGACGACATTTATTTCGAATTCGATCCCAAATGATTAACGAATTCTAAAATTTATATAAAAATGATGAATAATGAAATTTAAATGGTTTGTATTTACTGTAGGGTTAACAACAAAGGATGAGACTTTATAGACGACTGTAAGGAATTATATTTTTCCTACAGTAGTTTAAACTTGTCTTTTCTTAGTCAAAAGTTTGAGGTCGTCATTTAAGTCTCATTCTTTGTGAGTAACCCTGTATATAACAAATGAGAGCGTATGTTAGTTTGTATGTTTGTTCCAACCAGGGATAAGAGATTAAAAAGATCTATTAAAGGTTGGAATATGCGATATTCTTCATTTTAAAAATTATTTCTGTAAAACTAAACCCCTCAGTGGTTATTATATGCAACAAGAGGCGGTTAGATGGCAGTCAAACCCCCTTTTAAAGAATATAACATGTCGTGCCGCAACGACTTTAGGCCTAGTATGTCTGTTAACCCTATCCCTGCTGGGGTACTTGAAAACCAGGATACGCTGGGGGGGGGGTCAATTTGCCCCCCCCCCCCCCTCTAAATCCCATGTTTTATGTCCAAATATGACAAATGATACATCATTAGAAAGCTCTTGTGCTCTACTTTTAGAATCTGCAAAAAAATTTGAAAATTTGCAAAAAATTGAATTTTTTATCGCAAAATCCAGTTTTATAGTAAAAATGTTTGCAAAAAAAAATTTGTCCAAAAAATGACAAATTATACATTTTTAAAAAGCCCTTGACCATTCCATTTCAAATATGCAAAAAATTTTGCAAAATTTTAATTAACCTGATTTTTAATCAAGAAAAACTAAAAATGTGCAAATTTCCTTTGACAGGTTGTTTGCAAAAAATTTGCAATTTTTTTTCGCAAAACTTGTGCAATCCGTTTCCTTATGTCATAGGCTTTCCAAGAAGCTAAATTTTATCAAAATTTGACAAGTGAAAGTGGGTCAAAACAAAGATTTAGTTTGTTACAGGCAAAAGCAGTCATTCAGGCAGTGTGCCTGAGGACTCAGGCAGTTAGTATTGAAGCCCGGTTTTAGGCCTAAAGGGAGGGCTTTGGGTATGTAAGAAAAGTCAGAAAATTTCAACAGCCTCAGACCAATACTTTTTTTTGTTATGTAAAAAAAACTACAGGGGGGGGGTCAAATTGACCCCCCCCCCCCAGCAGGAATAGGGTTAATAACTAGTCTATGTTTCCAACATAGAGAGTCGTAAACGCGGTCTCTTTAACTGTTACATTTAGGGAAAAGTAATTTTTAGTATTCAATTTCTTCAAGTTCTCGAGTTGCAGGGTCTTCATTACATTGGAACCAAAGCCTAGTTATAAATAATCTTGATTAAAATTTTACCAACAGTTTATAAATAAAAATAATTTTTAAAAAACTTTTCAAATGTTGTCTACCTTCTACAACATTAAATCAATACTAAAGTGCATTTGTTGTTGTAACAAAACAAAAAGCCCTTCATGTAAATTATTTAATCACTTTACGTAAAATGTGTCTGTTTACACTGCACACTTACTGTGTCTAATGTTCATCGGACTATTTATACGTCATAACTGTAAAAAGTAGTAAAAGTAGACTCCTATTCCAGAGTTTTCTGGTTCTCACTGTACAATTATTTTTAAATCATTTAATAGATTGGAAAATTTCTTAATATCTTTGCCAATTTTGAGTGTACAGAAATGACAGAAGAGCACATTTTGTAACTGGTTTGCTTTTTCTCCCTTTTACTATTCATTTGTTTGTGGAGAAGCTAGATTGTCGTCTTCCACTTCCGGACAAAGCTTAGATATCAATATATATACATTCCGTTTATTTGTCTCATTCTTTGCGTCGCGTCGCTAAAAGTTATACATTACTACTGCTACTGAAAGATATCATTAATCATAATAAAAGCAAGTATACAGATTACAGGGTGTGTCAAACGGAATTACACAACACTAACTTTTTTTGCAAGGTTTGTGGTTCAGGCTTAAAAATATCAAAAAAATATTATCAAATGCAAAAATATTTTTTGGTACAGAGAAAAATTCCGCAAAATATTTTTTCTTTAAAAAAACACTTTCTCAGATAGAAATCAATTTTTAAAAATATCCCTTTCTATTACAAAATTTTATAAAAATCTAATAATGAAATAAAAGAGATACAACAAAAAATCCGCCAAAAAATTGCTTATGCAAATCTGAACCAAATCTTAAGAATTAAAAGCATCAAAAATTTTCCCTAATATGATCTCAAATCTTGAATAACAAATTGTGGCATTAAGAAGTTCCATTTTGCCATCTTTGTAAGACTTGGAGAAGACTTGTAATGACTTTTTGTTATAACTCTTTTATTCTATACATTTTCTAACAGATTTCTCAAGAAAGAATTATTTTCACAAAAGAAAATCGTTTCGCGGATTCTTTTATGTCCCAACATTATTATTAGCAAACATTATTATAATGTTTGTATCAACGCTAATCCCTTTTTTTCTCACGTCTTTTATGTTTAACTTTAAATTTAATCAAATTAATCAAATTAATCAAATTAATCAAAAATTGTGTTTTAGACATTAAACTTATCCAAATTAAAACGGATGTATTAGGATTAGTAACCCTGAATTCTAGAAAAGTTTTCTTGGAAGACTTATACATCTTATTATATAAACTTTCCAATAAATAGAAATCTAAAAATTCCAAAATTCTTCTTTTTCCCCGTTTAAATCTCTTTTTTAGATTGGACCACTTTCTCAGGGTACATACATCGTACCTCCAGACAGAACCGTCTCTATCCCCTAGATTCAGGTTGTCACAGAAACATTTTCTCCGACATGGACAGGTTGGTCTAAAAATGTCGTATTAAAAGTTCTGAAATACGTCCCATAAAACATCAAATATTCATGTCTTAACACTAAGATCTGAAAATCATAGAAAAAGAGAAAAAAATTCGTCTTCCAAAAGAATAGAAAAAATAGCAATCAAAAAGCTATTGTTGATTAAATCTCACTGAGGCATAAGAATTCCACACAATGATTTTTTTAAATTTTGATAATCTAAAGCAAATGTTTCTCTGCAAAGTCAGCCCCCCACCCTCCTTCTCCCTCCTGTAGTTCAAGGTGGTGGCTTTAATACGGGTTGGGGGGGGAGGGGGGGGGTCGTGGCTTGAATTGAGGGGCCGCTGCGCAAAGCCCTTACTCCTCCTTAGTCCGTCCTTAGTAACCTACAGGCATTCAAGCAGTGCAGACCTACCCCTCCTCCCTCGGTATATACAGAATACACATTTTTTACTAGACCAATTTCCACAAATTTTAAATTTTCATGTTTTATTTAAAGTTTTTCAAAACAAATCTTTTTTTCACGAAAGTATTTCATGATTTCGGAAAAAAAGGAACAAGTTTGAAGTTGCAAGAAATCATGAATATAAGAAAACAGACATTATAAATTAGGTACATGTCATCTCTGAAATCTTATCATTCGTCGGTAACCCTGTATTTTTTATTTTCATCCCTTTTTGTGCAACTAACAATAATTGAAGAAGATTTTAACAATGTTTTTTCTCCAGGGAATGGATGGTGGTAGAATAGGTTCAGCCGTTTAGGAGTGGACCTAGAGAATTAGTCTTCTCAGGTAGAAATTGGATAATTTACACAAAAAAATATAAAAATTAGACTTCACACCCTGTTCTTTACTAACTTCTTGTATTCATTGTTTTTTTTTAAATGAATCCTAACTACTGCATCCGGTTTAGCTCTTTCCGGTGTGCCTTGTATTCAGAATTTTCCCAAACATTTCAATTAAATATTGATATCCATGCGCCCCGCTGATAAACCTTAACAATAATTGATGGGAAATGTAGAAGAAACTCAATTGAAATATTTAAGTACTGTTGCCCATGACCTCTGTAGGGAGGTGCTGATTTTTACGAATAAGGTTCTAGAAGATATGGATAAAGGGCTGGTTTGATATACATTAACTTCAAACTTTGGACCTGAACGTAAGATCTATATTGAATTTGAACTTTAACCTTAAAATACTAAAAAATTCTAAAAATGTCTGGACAGACATTTTACGTTTTCTCTCCCTCAGCCTTCATGTTGAAGGTCAGACGAGTCCTGATAGTTGTACTCTTCCTCTCTGTCCTTTGTGTGCGTTGAAATCTCTCAAACTTTCTTCATACACAATACCTCCCCTCCCCTTTATTTTCCTTTCAAAAGTACACCCCTGCCCCTCTCCAGATGGTAGATTTCTACCTATAAAACAATGAAATATTTTTATCAACAATTTCAACGAATTTTCTTACTCCCAAATCTCTTTTTATCGATTTTTTATTTTTCTAACTTTCTTAATTCTTTTTTTCTATCATTTTGATTTTTTTGATGATTTTTACAGTTTTACAGTGTTGAATTGCGTAGAATATATTGTCTGTATAATATTAAATCGGATTGGTTTGAACGAAGTTAGAGGCCAAAAAAGAAAGATCTGTCTAGACATTATATGATGCATTTTGAGGCAGGATTAGATCTATTGGATCAATTCAGGGCTGTTAATAATTAAAAGAGATATTGCAAAAAATTACAAAAATGTTTTTCAGTTTCTTAAAAACAGAAAACATGCATTTCGAATGAATTCCTTCTGAAAATGAATAACAAACTGACAAAAAATGTTGACATTTAGGGAAATTTTCTGACATTCAATAATTAACCAAATGCCAAGGACGGTGTGCTGTGTAATAAAAAAATGGAATAATTGTGGTCCATTTTAGTTTGGAATTTAGAATTAATGCAATTTGTAAACAACATTATTTACTGTAAAAATATGCTTCTACAGTGTACTGTAAGCTAGCATATATGATCATAATTATTATTTTATTAACGGGTCGAAAGAAGAGAATGATAAAACAATTAATCTGAAAATGTATCTCTTTAACTTTCTGTAATCCACGAAATTATTACCAGGTGTACACTGTACACAGCACCTAAAAATTGCGAAATCTCAGATTTTCATTTTTTTCAACTTTTTCTCGGTCTAAACTTTTTTTCACTATTGTTCAATAATATTATTCGACACACCTTGCCTAGGAGAAAAAAAAGTGTTTTGCAACTTTTGCTAATGCTTATGCCATTATTTTTTAAAGTAATTGCAGAAAGCTTCCAATCTACATTCCAAAGATGATAAGGGGGGGGGGGTTAAGTCGTAGTAGGGAGGGAGGGGCCCTTGGCTTGGTATAGAAGGGGATGAACACGTCCCAAGGTCGAATTAGAATATAAAGAAACTGCGCAATCTGCCTGGAACCGGCATACAGGCAGCTATAGCCAGTTTCTTTCAAGGTCTTTTCTACGCAGGCAGAAACATGAACTCTATAAACAGGATATGTCATGGCATGATGGCGTAGTTTGTTTTAATCTCAAATAATTTTCTTAGCATAATTCTAAAGTTGGATAAAAAAATATATTTCGACGCTCTTTTTGTTATTTTTAGTTTGGAAATCAATTTGATAATCATTATCAATGTAACTAATGATAAAAACAATGATAAAATTCGCAATTCATTTTTTTTAATATTTCAGAGAAAGTTTTATTTTTTCAAATTTATTATTTCTAGGTTTTGTCGAACATGTTAAACTTTCTGAATATCATCACTTGTCGTGAAGACAGAACAATTGTTCTTTTTGGTAAGGTTATATAAGTTTAAATTTCAAACATGTTCAATAAGACGTAACACTTGCCTCAAACTTTTTCAATTCTGAAAACTTTGCAGCCTGAGGGTTAGAAATTTCAAACTTTTAGTATTGATCTTGTAGAATTCGTAGTTTAAAAAATCATGGACCAAAACTAATGAATAGTAAGAAGTAGTTGAACTAAGTAGACTAAGTTTAACCACTTCTCTTCAGCGATTAAACTTGAACCACATATCACCCACAACTCCCAGGTTTGCAAAGGAATTGAGTCTTTGCCACAAACTCTGATTTTCTAATCCCTATATTTTTAGAACCAAATGTTGCAGACCTTTGATATTTCAAACAATGAATTCTGTTAGATCAAATAATCTGAGTTTGAAATATCAAAAGTTTACAACATCGAGTTCTAAAGATATTGAGGTTTAAATATTTGATTTTGTTCCAAAGACTCAATTCCTTTAAAAGGATTAGAAAATTAGAGCTTGTGACAAGTGTTCAGTTCCTTTGTTTGTAACTGATAAAATATAGATTCCATCTTTAATAATATTTTCTCTTTTTAGACAACGGAGAGAAAACTACGACAGAACTTGTGGAGAAAATGTTAGCTGTTGATCCTTCTCAATCTCTGAGTTACACCTGGTATCCCGGAGACACTGTTCACAACAATCCGTCCTTCCTTCCTTTCTCGAGAGCATATGCAACCTGAGATCAGGCCTGAACCATATAGTTACAGATCTGTCCTCCAGGATGTAGACAGCTCAATCTAGTCAACCCTATCCTGTCCTATCACAATGAGGCCATATTCTGGTCCTCGAGATATTTTCTTGTATGAGATGCTAGTCGCCGCGAGGTCAGGAAAACCAGGCTTAAGTTTGATCTCTTGTTATTTCAAAATTTTAAGATCAAATAAGAGTTTGGGAAAAATTTCGCAAAATTTTGGCTTAATTCTTTTTCTTTTCGAACAGGACATTTTTCCTGTTCAATTCTAAATTTGGTTTGAGGTGAGTTCAGTATGTTTGAAGGGGGCTCCAGGAATTCTAGTCATGAGAAACTAAATATTTCCCCCGTGTTCCTGGTCCTTCGTCAATCTTGAGGAACTGTGCCTCCCTCCAGCAGCGTTAAATTAAGTTTTTTTTCGTTGCAATTATTTTTGCAGATTTTATCCTTCTCGCGGCATCGCGGCGTGGCTGCCGCAACAAACCATTCGGCGCAATTTGAGATTGTTTTCATTCTTCCCTCACTATTCTTGTGTTTTCTATCATAGTTGTTAATTATTAGTTTTTGTTAAATGTTATACAACTTGTTTGAATCACTGTAGATTACTCAAACTGAAAAAAATCAAATAAAAATAGTAAAAGCTTAAAAAGCAATTTTTTTTGTGAGAGATATTAAGTATTTATGTACAGTGTACAGTAAAAATTACAAAACTGTGGAATTATTTTCGTCTTAATTATTTCTTTTATTTTTCATTTTTAATAATAATTCCACAGTATTCCTGTAAAATCACAGCATATTTCATTATAAAAATGAAAAGCTATCATAAATTTTTGTCTACCAAAGATTTCTAAAGAAATTGAATCTTTGCAACAAAAATTATAATCCTTAAATCTTAGCAACCCAATGTCGAAAACTTTCAATATTCTGTTAGATCAAATAACCTTAGTAAAAATCAAAGGACAGCATCATTAGGTTAATTATCAATGATATAGAGATTAGTAAATTTAAATTTGCGGCAAAAAGGCTATTTTGTACGTGTAATTTTCCTGTTTTTTGATTAAGGAATTGAGTCTTTGCCACAATGTCAGATTTTCTAATCCCTATATCTTGGCAACCTGATGGTGTAAACCCTTGATATTTGATCTAAGAGAACCCATAGTTTGAAATATCTAAGGTCTGTGACATTGGGTTGCAAAGATAAAAGGATTATAAATTCAGAGTTTGTGGCAAAGGCTTAATTCCTTAGAAAATTGTTGAATTTTAATTTAACCAATGAGTCGTTCTTTCACAGAGAGGTCGTCTTTGTGTTTATTTGTATTTTCAACAGTGATAATTTTATATTCACTGGACCAATGAGTAAATATAGAGAATTTATTAGTAACTTAAAGAGTGTGTCTGTTGCAGTTATGATTTTCTAAAGATTATACTTTATTTATTCTTCAAGTGCAAAGAGTATGCACAAGGGTGTAATGCAAGGAAAGTTAATCGCGGTCGTGTATACTCTGCGTACATATTGAAACCAGTTCTCTTTGTGCGGAATTTGTAAACAAGAATAGATGCATCAGTGTTCGTTTAGTATCCGAGGAGGTTAAAAGCACTAAATTTGATAATTTTGATAATTCACATAATAATTTTTTATGACCAGAATATTTCATTGATTTTTTTATGTGAAAGATGGATCCCATGTCTGGCTGTAAAATCCGTCTTGTGTTTACATTACCGCCCAGAGACAGTACACTGCAGTACAAAAGTTGCGTACACTTCTGAAATAATTTTCTTTGCATTACATCTTTGTAACAGAGGGTACATGGTACATGAAGGAGGGGACAAAGCGTGACTATAGCGTACAGTTTTAAAAAATAGTAAACTTTTTTAAATTAAAAAATAACATAGATATTTTAAAATTTCACGAAGAAAATTTTATTTTGAGTAAGACGACCACAACCACACTTTTTTCTTGACTCAAAGCAAACTTGTAAAAAGTTGCAAAAGTTAAAACTTCTCAATAACAGCTCTCGAACTCTTTTTCTTCAGAAAAGGGAATTAAAAAATTATCTTGCTAGATTAATATTTTATCAAGCGATTGTTAGATCTGAATTCTAAACCGAATAGATATTTGAAATTCTTAAAGTAATTTCAAATTAAAAATAGATTTTATATATAATTCTATACACTAGGCAATTACCTTGACATTTGAATAAAAAAACATGACATTTAAGCAACAGTCAGGCCTTTATACACAAATAGAAAAGATCTTGAAAATCTTGAATAGAGAATTGTAAATCCAGATTTTTTAAAATCAACTTACCTATTTTCAACAATCAAAAATACTTTAAATGCTGGATAATTTTAAAACGTATTTCAGATTTCTCTAACCGGATTTATTTTTAAGATCTTTTGAGCTTAATTTAACTTTCTGAATATTATTGAATCATTATAATAAAACATTAACTAACTAGTTATCATATTTTAGTCTTTTGTGCAGTGTTTAGACATTGACAATTTTTTCAAAAGTCAAACATTTTTAAACCTGGTAAATTCATACTAAAGTAAACTGGACGCCAGATTGAAATCTTATATCTTTTAAATTTTAACATTTCTTCTTGATTGAAGAACCATTGAAAATACCAAAATGGATTGAATTTTTACTGCGACAGTATGTATTTGCTTTTTTCAAAATCAAAACTAGAGGAGCCACCAGGTTACAAAACCGTACAAGTAATGTCGAAAAAATTTGACCAGGGGCGGATATAAGGATTCTGTAGGGGGGGGTAAAAAATTTTAATTTGGCGCGCGAAGCGCGCCGGAATTTTTTTTACCCCCCCCTAGAAATTTTTTTACCCCCCCCTAGAAAAATATCATGATGTATATCAAATTATTGGTTTTAATTGGGTTTGATTTGCATTTTCCACTCATTTCTGGGATTTACAAACTCAATCTAATAAAGGCTTCATTACATACCTTTCAGCTT